TCCTGCTGAGAAAACTAGTTAAATGTGTAGGGAGCTTCAGAAAAGTTGATTCTTATTATTCCTAAAAGTTTATTCACTTAAGGTCTAGTATTGAATTTTTATTGGAAATAGAAAACAGTACTAAACAGGGTCAACCTCTTCATTGCTCAAAATTAACTTTCAATCCTTAAGAGGAAAATTAAATCATTTTTTAAAATGTCATTTTCAATAACTTGCTTGGTCCTATTTTTAATTGCCTATCCTCCATCAGAGGAAAACAAAGAATTACAAAAATGAAACCACTAGGAAAGCTTGAGGAAGCTGATGTTCTTAATATTAGAGTTCTGATTTATAGCTCCTGATTTTCTTGTTGAGGTAATCACTGCTTTATACCCTCCAGAGCTCCTGGGAGCCTCCAGAAATGAGGACCTGTTTCTTAGCCCTTCATATTCTAGGCCCTGCCCACCTCTTGTAGCCTCATTAGTTTCTAGTGTACGCACACACATACAATCAACATAATATTCCTTGTCTAAATCTTTCAGTTAAGGTGGATTTAAGAATAAATGAATAAAAAAGAAGTTATTTGTTCTTGAAACTGAAAATCCGAGGGATAGAATATAGGGTATGGCTATGTGCAGGACCATAAATGACGTCCCTGGATTGGGTTTCTCTCTCTGGTCTCTGGTCTAAGCTTTTCTTCTCAGCTGGCTCCATTCTCAAGCTGGTTCTCTTCTCCAGTGTTAAGAGGGCGTCTGCAACTTTGGGCTTACCTCCTCCTCTCAGCAATTCCGTAAAGAACAAGCACTTCTCTCCACTCTTCTCGCCAGGGTTCCAGCAAAAGGCCTGGACTTGATTGCTAACCTGAGCCAGTCACTAGGAGGAAGTGAAGGGGGATGGGATAGGCTTATTTGTGAGCTCAGAAAGAGGTCAGCCCCTCCCAAACCACCTACACTGAGAATGGAGAAGTTGCTGGGCCCCAAGGGAAAACAGCAGCTTAGATACTGGGCAGGCTAAAACAACAGATGTCCACTATATTTCTCCACACACCCAGCGATCTCATACCTCCCTGCCCTGGCTCCTACCTCCCCTCTACCTACAATGCTCTTCCACACCACACTTAGTCTTCTGACAAATGCCTATGTAGCCTTTAAAACCCAGATCACCTATTACCTCCTTTCTGCCACCTTGTTTGTACGATTGTTCATAAAATTAACCCTGGGAACCATTTCTGAACCCTGTACATATTTCTATTAACAGACTGAGTTGGAAAAATTTTTAAAGCAATTAATTACAATTGTACAAGTAATATATGTTCATTATTTAAAAAAAAACGAAACCTCAAAGAGTAATGCCACTCAAAGAGTGGTCCATGGACTGGCAGCAAGCTCTGAACTGTTTGTTATAGGTCCTCAATGAAGTAAGTATAGAGGTTGAGAATAAAGTCTAGAAATTGTTATGGCAATTTGACATATAAGTTTTTGTCTGTTGAATCCAATAATAAGCAATTCAGCCTTTCATTTTTTATGTATTTTAAAATTTCATTTTAGTAGCAATTCACATTTATTGGATTTTATTAAAGTATCATTTCACACCAGTTTAGATATATGTAGTGTGATCCTTTTTACATGAAATTAACTATATATATTATACAGGGATATATATATATATCTGGAAGGATAGACATCATGCTGTTACCTTTGGGGAAGGTAACGATATAATTTTGGTAAAAGATTAGAGAATACAGAAAGGAGAGAATGGGGCTTTTCCTTTTTGTATAGTTCTCTATTGCAAAGCTTCTCAAATTCGTTGGTCAATTTCTGACATTAAATACAATGAAGAACGAATCCATCCACAGACTGACTTCACTGGATTATTTGCAATCAGCAAATATTGAGTATCTACCATTTGCAGCCTCCTCTTTGGACCTTAGTGTCCTCATATAAAAAAGACATTGGGATACATATTAACTTTAAGCTATCTCCCAAAGCAAACCTATGGATTTTGGTTTTATAGTTTAGTTTATTAAATTGGTACTGGCCTTAACTCTTGGTCACACATGCCCAATTTCTGGACACACTTCCAAAAACTGTCCCAGAGCCTATGTCCACATTCAGACAGCAAACCACTTCACTGTATTGCTTTTTTATGAGCCCCCATTTCCCTACCACGACTCTCCAGTCATAGCAATTCCAGTAGGGCTCTTGTTCTACAGCCCATGCCCATATAGAAGAGAGAGTGTGGACTATTTACCTAGCTCATTGTAAGGACACAGAAAAGTGGAAACATGGCTGATCTGCTACAAAGTGTCCCAAAGAGAACAGGATAAATGAGGACCTGTAAGGGCTGTGGTGATAGGACAGACACTTGAGGATGGAACTGGTTTCTGGACAGAAAGGAAAAGGCAAGATCAGGCTGCCTATACAAAGCACTAGGAGAAAAACAAGCAATTTAGTGCACAAGTTTTGATTAAGTATCTACCGTTTACACAGTGTCGACTAAGTTCTGCGAATGCAAAATTAACACAATATGGTACTATTTTTAAAAACTCAAGACATACACCCAAGTGATTAACAATGCATGAAGTATGGAATCATGTGTCAAAAGGCATACTAGAGGATATAAATACGAGAGAATCCGAAGAAAGGAAAAACTGATGAAAGCTGGATCAGGTAGAGAAGGCTTCTGATAAGTAGAACATCTGGATCTCAAAAAAAATTTGGTAGGATTTGATTAGCAGAGAGGAGTAAAAATATTGCAGGCTTGAGAAATAGAATAAGGAAAAGTATGAAATCAGGAAGGTAAATGACATGTTTGTTAGTGAGGAAACAGGTCCTGCTGGTCTTGGTTCAGGCAGACATGGTGGGGGGAATGTCAGGTGGTAATGCAATAAGGGAATGAATGACAAGATTAGATTGTGGAACACCTCAATTACCAAAAGGTGTTTGATCTGTTTTATTTCCAGAGTCTTTATTTGAGAAAGTGGGGTAAAGAAACTGATATTTCAAGATTTACAGATTTCCCAGGATGAAGGAGGGATGGGAGGGAATGGAGGCAAGACCATTTAGAAAGCTATGGTGCAGGCAATGAGGTAACAGCAGACATGATAGAATAGACAATACTGGCAGATTCAAGAACAATTTCCTTCCTTGAGGAAACAACAAAACTGGGTGACTAAAGAGGTAAGAACCAAAGATGAGTCTGAGGTTCAAGATGTCAGAAAATTTTAGACCTGTAAGGGGTCCAGTCAGATTCCCTAACGTTAAGAAATGATGAAACTGGTTGTTTAAAGTTTCAGAACTATTTCTCTGCAGAGCTAGCAGCAGAATGCCTAGGGCAGTATTACTATGAGACTTTCCTAGCATTTTATGCCTAAGTGTTAATTACATATAAATCATTTCGGATGACTATTTTTAATGATGAGAGCAACCAGACCAGAATTATGATGTCATAATCACAAGACTGAATGAAAAAGTCATGTATCTATTTGAATAGTTTATGTGTAATCACATACTATGATTTGTGCTGTAAACAGAAACTTGATTAGCAACTTACCAAGGTTATAAATTCCCCCTGATGACATTAACTATGATGACTTATCCCTTCTCTACCTGCTTTTTGCATTTATTGGTCACTTTAACATTTGTCTTTGTGTGTACCAGTCTCTTTATCAAAAGTGTATGTCATTCTAGGTAGAGACTTACACTTCATTTACCATTAGCAGAAATTAAAGTGTTGAGCTATTACATTTTGATAGGCTACTAATGAATAAACGATTGCTGAAGAAATTAATGAAATTATACCAGTTGTAAGTTTAGGATTAAAGAAACTGAAAGTTGAAATAACAATGAAAAACATGATCCCCAGAAAGACTGCAGAGATGAATGGAATGAGAACCAATTTAAGCATCAAGAATATGATTCTTCAGTAGTTCCAGCAAGGCCACTAATAATTCTCTTTGTCTTTTCAGTCATCATCTGAAGCCTGCAGGTCTTGAAACAATAAAAACACTTTACTCTAGTCATGACCTATTTCCTTTTAGATCTGGGTGAACTCAGGGCTTACTAGCAGGACCTCTGTTTGTTGAGAAGGAATATACAAAATATATTACAAACTTACCATTCTGTTTGTTAAGAAAGAATATACAAAATATATTAGTCTTACCATTCTAATTTTTTCTTAGAGTGACAAAGAACTCAATCACTTACGTTCCTAATGGAACAGTCTCACTTGCCTGAACTCATTTCTAATGCTTTTATACAATTAAAACATACGCTTCACTCTTCCTAATTCTGTTGATG